CCAACGTTCAACTTAATTTCTAAAAATGCTATTTCAGGACAAGATAGATCAAAAACAGAAGTAATTATACCAGTGCTTAAACTTGGAAAAATAACAGTTTCGTTTTATGTCCGCCTGGTTGCCCACTGTGCGCAGTAGTCGATATTTTGACTTTTGTGATCGTGAAAAGAGGGTGAAAATGGAGTGGGCCAAAAATATCCTTGATGCAAATTGGTAGAGCTCGACGAGTACTACAAATGCCAATATAAAAAGATTCTACCGTATAGTTTTTGTGCTGTGGGACCTGAAAGTTGACTGTTTTTGAAAAGAGGTCTGCAAAGATGGGCTTCGTACTGAAAGAGGAAGATACATATCGGCCGTATTCTTTTTCTGCTCGATTAATTAGCTCTTTAGCGTCATTTTTATCTATAGTGCAAGAACTTTTTATCTTGTTTTGCCTTCAAAAAACGGCAAATACTGAGTGCCAGTTTTTCATTTTCGGCCATTTTGTGACAGCTGGCCTGCCATTGTAAAAGTACTAGAAGAAGTTTTAATATTAGTATTTGTACTACTCGAAGTGCTCTTTCGTGTGGTATGCCGAACGGTGGTGTAAGCTCTGTAGAGGCAGATAAAAATAAGATCAAAGTTGCTTTATTAGAAGGAGAGCCGAAACTTAACATCCTTGAAAAGGTATATAGATTGTGATGTTTTTAGTGAACAAATATGGATTTCTATGTAACTTTCTATGCTCTATACGGCAAGAGTCTTCAGTTTTTTCCGGCTCTTAGGTCTGTATAAACTGGGCGGACCTGAATGGAAGTACCCCACAATAACTTAAGAGAAGATTAGATTTTTTCTTAGGAAAAGATTTTTCAAAGACATAACATGAAAGAGGTGGAAGTCTTATTGAGACAGTACCATCAGAGAAAACTCGAGTCATTGAGTTTTACTGAAAATTTATTGAGCGCCACCCTCTACCTTAGTTGGCAAACCTGTAAGATAAAATGTGGATATCATCGAGTATAAATGAACAGCAGTGTTGCCATAGATTGTAGAGTATTGTAGTCTTTTGCTGATAAAAAAAGCACAGATAACGTTATATTTTTACTTTTATGATCCAGCGTGAACATCGAAAAGGAAATTTGGTCAGTATACTTTGAGATGGTTGATATTCGAAAACGGTTTTGTCTAAATCAAACTTACAGTTCTCGAGATAGGTTTCTTATAGACAGCAAAGTTTATTCGGATGATGAGAATAGCTTTCAACTTTTTTTTTGTACAGTGCTGCCACTTCGAATCGCACTTTTTTTTCATAGTATGTTGTTAGAGGTATCATGTTGAATTTTTGGTTGGTCCATTCTTATGCCTATTGATGGTGTTCTTAGTTAGTGTTTTAATGCTACCAGAACTTAGCTGGATATAATAAGAGAAAGTCTCTTATTCTGGGATACACTCTGAAACGTAAAAAGTAGGAGGTGGGATATAAAATTTAGAAGACAGTTATATAAATCCACTTAAGTTGAGAATAAATTTCCAGTTTTTCTAGAAAATGGGCGCTAGAAAATGAAGCGCATTTTCGCTTGTACCGATAATCTTTAGAGAAAGATCACCGTTAACTTTCTGCATCTCTGGTTTAAAAATAACATTAACAGGTTGTGTTCACGTGGCTCCTCACAGGTTACTATATCTACCTCAAGTCAGAATAAACCTTGACTTGAGTGAAATTTTTAAAAAGCACGAAGAAGATCCCGCTTCTCTGTAGTCGGAGTGACTTGCTTATTTTGTTAATGACTATCAAAGATTTCAACTTAGATCAATGTTGTAGTCATTATCACACTAATTCTTATATGTGATGAGACGATTAAAAGAGTGATATGATGAGGGATTAAATTATATGTGATGTGATGAGGGATTAAAAGAGTTGCAACATATACGGATCGTCAACTTGATCCATTCACCTATCTTCGTGGTTTTCACGACTAGACGAAGTTGAAGTTTTTTGCATACTGTGTTCCGTTTAAAACTGTCGGCGTTTTAAAATTAGTGATACCGAGTCACTAGTGGGAGACGGAAGCTTAGGTCACATAACATGAGCGGATCATAGTAAGTAGAGCACGAGAATGACTGATCTTAAGATTTGGATCTCAAGCTTAGTTAGGACCACAATTCCTTACTAATTTGCCATAAGTATTGATCTATTAGTTGTTGAGTGATACAGCTCCCATATGTTCTCATCCTTTCTGTGATGACCAAACGGAATGTTTTTCAATTCATCTTTCACTAAATTTTTGAGAGTTTAGTCAGCCATTGTACTATTTATTTTAAAAAAAAGTGTGGATAGTTTTGAGGAAGAGAAAATTGCTTCTTACTTTTGCAAACTTACTAATTAGCAGTCATTTTAGCCCATTCTTAGAAACACTGGATTCCTAAGCAGTTTATTGCTGTGTCCACGTAAGCCATTTTTCCAAATAACTTTGATTAGCCATAGTTAGTGGTTTACGGACCTCGTCATTCGGTAGCCAAGACATCGCCAAAACTCTATGTAACACACGAGCTTTCGAAAAAGTTTTAAAAACCGGTTTTCCAGCATATCCCTGGAAAACCATGCCATAACTCTGAAATCCGCAGGATAAATCTGTGTTTTGAGATTCTTTTCCAGAAACGAGCATCCCTATCAGATTCAGCGTTGCTGACTGTTTCATGCGGTTTCAATGTCAACAATGGCTGGGTTTTCCAGAGATATGCTGGAAAACCGTTTTTAAAACTTTTTCGAAAGCNGAGTTTTGGCGATGTCTTGGCTACCGAATGACGAGGTCCATAAACCACTAACTATGGCTAATCAAAGTTATTTGGAAAAATGGCTTACGTGGACACAGTAATAAACTGCTTAGGAATCCAGTGTTTCTAAGAATGGGCTAAAATGACTGCTAATTAGGAAGTTTTGGGGAAAAGAAAATATGTCATCCGATAGAGATGATCGTTGACACGACAGGCTCTGCAAGAAATACTTTTTACAACAGGTGCAAAACAGCTGGAAAAATCGACTTTTTCAATTTCTCCGCCAAAACTTATCCAAACCGTGAGTTATTGCACACGTATACCCCTGAAGGTATCCTCTACAAACTGGCAAATTTTGAGAGTATGTTTGGCCGGGGATACCTCCCTTAAGTATGACAATTGTCATCAGCAGGTCACTTTCTCTCAGAGTGATAAACTCGAAATTTTGTTTAGGTTGCTTCGTTCCTTTTAAAATTTTTCAAATCAAAATTTGTCTTTTCTGTTACGAAATGAAATCTACAAGTCTGTTTCGTTTGTTAAAGATGAAATCACCTGATAAACATTTTATTAAAATATCAAAATATTTGAGAAGAAACTGGCGAAATATCCTTCTCACCAATTGTCAATTGTGTCCACAACAACGTTTACCTTCGTTTGATGAAATATGTATTTGGGTAAATAGCACCAAACAATCGACAACAGGTGATAAAGAGAATGGTTTTGATATCACCAGTGATGATGAACTGTACTATCAACCAGCACCAAGACCTGTTAAAAGGTCTCGTCAAAAGAAGGCAATATCCATTTTATCAAAGCCAGTCATCTATATTGCTGAAGAAGAACCGGAATCTATTCATGAAGAAGTGTGTGAAGTGGTAGACGAGGAATCAGAGAAACGATATCGTCAGTTGGCGTGTGATATTATCAACGAATATTCGGAGAAACATGAACACTTGAGATATGTCAGTGATTATCCGAAGTTAATCGATTATATTATAAACATGGCTCCCTGGAAAGTATGGCAT